TCTGATGCAAGCTAAGTGCCTCATCTGAAATTCAATTCTCGAGCCCGGCATCATCAACGCCCACTAGTTATTTGACTGATGAAACTCCTGCGAGCCAAGGTATCCGGAATCCAGATCTCTTTCGGTCGATCGGAGACCTGGCGAAATCCCAGCGAACCGTCATCGTTAAGGCTTTTTCGAATTGCAGATCCCGGATCCATTTCCTAAACTGGCGGAGTAGAAAAATGAGCTGGGCGATCATGCATTTTATCGTTCGCAGTGACAACGACGATTGCATCTGGTCTTGTAGAACTTTATTTCCCTCGAAATGAGTCACGGAATGAGACGAGCAGGGGAGAAAAGGAACTACATATAAATAAAACGCAGCACATGCCGCGAAAACTAAAGAGGGCAGGATGACACTGCCACAACTAGGAATACGTAGTAGGTATTGCATACCTGGATACATCCATGAAGACATACACGAATAGGCCTACACAGTACAGCATATTGGGAATCGGGAAGCGTAATACTGAGGGGGAATGCCCGAAGAGGAGATTCTGAGATCGTTCTCCGACACAAACGGGGTGAGGAGCCTTGCTCTCGCTTCTCCCATCGTGCAATGGGAGAGCGCGGAATCCATTCTAGCCCGCCAGCAGAAGTTTTCGGCCGACCCGTGTTTTCGAATCGATGATGTTCGCGTCTGCTCGACGTTTATTATTGCGTTTTTTTGGCGGTTTTTTTTGCGAAGATGTGCAATTTGTGAAAGTTCCAGCGGCAGAAGTCGGTGTTTCGATTCGTCCATCGATTCGAGGTTCGGGCGGGGGAAAAGTCTGCGGGGGGGCTCTAATGGGTTCGTCGGGTAGGGACTAGAAAGCTCCCCTGGAACCCGAGTAAAATAAAAGCCTAAGATTTGGAATCTCCGATCGATTCGGCAAAAATACGACAACAATGGACCTCCCGTCGGTGCACGGTCCCCAAGGAGTCGAGAAGGTCCCAAAAGACGCATCGGTGGCAGGCCTCAGTCGTCGGCTCTCTCTCTCTCTCTCTCTCGCTTCTCTCGCTCGCGCACGCCCAAGGGACGAGGGAGCGCCCCTTGCTACTGGCAAGGGATGAGGGAGACGGAGCCCTTGCCCAGGGAGAAGGACGACGTCGGCCTCCCCAGCGTCGGGCAGCTGGAGCCTTGTCCGCATCTGCATTTCTTCGACACCAGGAAATCCGTCGCCGTCTTGCTCACCACTTTACACGGAGCACTTTCTTCGCATTCGAGCATCTGGAACACGCCGGCAGAACAACGAGATCGGGGGTAACGTTCCGGAAATACTTGGAAAATGCAGAGGTTTGCAAAAACGCACGCTGGAACGGACGTCCAGTGTGCAACAACAATAACAACAGACATTCTTAACGCAGGAATCGCTCGACTGCAAATTCACAGATTGGGAATTGCTGGGATGACCTCTTCCGTTTCATCAGAGGAGCTGAGGATTTATTAAATGGCCAGTCCGTATTTACATTGTACGGTCTCCTACAGGGTGTTTCGTAAGTTCCTGGTCACTTACCCAGTTATTGATCCGGTAGGTCAGTGTGTGATCCACCATTGTCTCGGCACAATATAATCATCCTTCTGAGTCTTTCTTCTATTGTAAATGGATTAGTATCTATCATCTTGTCCCGGCAATTAATAATTTAAATTATCTTAAATATTAACTAATAATTAATATCTATAATAATCATAAATAATCATGACCTGGGACTTACGGAACACCCTGTAGAACTCCGAAACCGGCTCTGAACCGGGAGCTGTCTCTGGCTCAGAATGATCCTGAATCGCGTGATTTTGCGATGAATGGGCCTGTTCGAAAGTACCCTCGCTAGCAGATGCAAGGCCTTTAGAGACGATTAACGGGACTTATGCAGCGTTGCCTCGAATAGAACCTTCGTGTCTGAAAGCCGTCTCTAAGCGGGGATGACGAGCGGTATAATGGCGCGATGTAACGATGATGCAGAAGCACGCATCCCTTGATAGCGAGGCGGCGAAAGTGGCTTAATGGGGATGCTGGCGGCTTAACGAAGGTGGCAAGTAGCTCCCAACCGGAGAAAACTCATTAGATAAAAAAAAATTTAAATTAAAATTTAAAACTTAAATCGACGATTTTCAAGGAATTGATTCCTTTCTTCGGAAAATGATGGGAAAATGGTACATTGTGTATCAGATGCAATCAAGACTTAAAAGAAAAAAACGACAAAAAGGAACTAAAGAAACAAAACGGGAGACAAAAAGAGACGGAGCGTCGAGATCTCGTAGCCGGCCGTAATGGTCGGTTTAATCCAGGCTTAATCCCGGATCAAATGTTTCCCCCCTGCGAAATGGGGTCATCGCACTCGACTGCATCGCTCGCCGGGAATTTTGCGCTCGCTTGGAGATTCTCGTCGAAAATGATAATAATGATAGAGATGATAATAGTGGTGATAATAGAGATGATAATAGAGATGATAATAGAGATGATAATAGAGATGATAATAGAGATGATAATAGAGATGATAATAGAGATGATAATAGAGATGATAATAGAGATGATGATAGAGATGATAAAAATAACTTTGAGGATGCTCCCGATAGACGGCACGCGGGTGTCCAGCCGGTGGCAGGGAGGAATCAAAGAAGTTTAAAGGACTAGCCGATATGAGGGAAGGGAAAACGGTGTGGTGGTGGATCTAATTAATTCGGAAGCCGATTAATTTTTTTTTCATGGGGAAGGAGAGCTGGGAAAAGTAACGATGGTTAAGCCTAAATAAGCATCAGATGATTTAAAATTATATTCGGCGGAACGGAATCGAGCCGATTTTCTTTTCCTTTTTTTGGCAACGAGGAAAAGCGATCTGTTTTTTCCCCTGTAAAATAATTTGTTTTTCCCCAAATTCCCGGCAAAGGTCACAAAGAACGAAGCGCATGACTCGCATGTTTCGAAATCAATTTAATGAGCTAGGAATTGCCTGGAAACCGGCGAAAGTGGGGCGAGGACAAAGAGGCTCCTCGACGAAAACAACTTAACAATCCAAAAATATCTCTTTCTTTTTTTTTTTAAAGCGTTTTTGCGGCCTTCGGGTTGCCAGCCGGTTTAGCCGGGCGTTGGCAATAATTAATTGAGTTAGATCGAATTAACTCGATTTTTTTAATACTTAAAAAAAAAAATACTTCAAGGAGAGCGTGCTTAAGCTCGCGCGACTTTAAAAAGCGACTTAATCTGTAAAAAAAAATATTGCTTAAAAAATGTTAACAAGATCCCGGGGAATCCGAAATTCACGAGCAAACTTTCTTTGGCGTGTGATAAACTTGCTTTGATATCTATCGCTGTATGGACCGCGGTTATCGGTTACCTCTCACCCGACGACGGGTCCCGACCGCTGCCGCAAACGCGCCGCGAACCGCCGCCATCGCGAAACGACCCTTCGGACGTTTGGATGAAATCCTTTCGCGGAACGCGCGGGGGATGCCCAAGCGCCAAAATTCTCCTTCGCTCGGCGACACGGCGCACGTGACGGTACGATGTGTGTCTCCGTGTCTCCTTCCTTCTCATACGCGTGCATGCATTCTATGCATAATCTATGCTGTTGGAGGTTAATGAATACTATAGCAACCGTGTACGGTCGCCATGATATTCATATCTCCTCGCTGTCATCCAGGCAGCATCACATGTCCTGACGTACGTCTTCCGAGGTTATGCTGCGGATGCATGGCTCATGCTGCTCGTCTCTGCCCTCCCTCCCTCTTCGCCCTCCAGCCTTCCTCGCCCTCCCTCCTTCTTCGCCCTCCCTCCCTCCTTGCCCTCCTCCCTCGTCCCCGATGCGTCGCCTCCGTCTCATCGGGCGATGCGGTCCATCGGTGGCCTGATTGGCTCGGACGGACTGCGATCGGCTGATGCCGATGTGCGGGAAAGGGGAGCGGGGCCTCGGACCAGCGTCGTGGCGTCGCAGAGTTAAGTTAATTAAGTTTTAATAACTCATTAATTTTTAAGAGGAGCTCGGTCGCGCGAGGCAAGAAACGCTCCCTCATTTGCACAGGAAAAACCTTTTTTGCTCTGGCCAGGTTCTCAATGGGCTCGACTTCCAGGGCCAAGGGGGGAGAAGGGGGGGGGGGGGGAGGGGGGGGGGGGGGGCGGAGGCTGGGGGGAGGTGCGTGTCCGAAATCGTCGGACGTTTCGATCGTTACCAGAAGGTCTAATGGTGAGGGTGGAGAGATAAATACCGAGAAATATCTAGAGATGCTGAGAAAATACCGAGATACGGAGGAAATACCGAAAAACTAACAACAACAAAAAACCCTAGAAATTCCATATTCTCGGAAATACCCGATTTATTAACGGTCGATCTCGTTTTGACATCGCCCATCACTCGGGAATCAGATCCTCAGATGTCTCTTCCCCACCAGTTACTCTTGCATCGGTTCTTTTCGTCGATCGATTGTCAATAACGCAGTCGATACCGTCTTGGCGGTTATTTTTTTCATACGCATCGATCCGCATCCCCTAAAAGTTATGAGTCGTGCCAGATATCGTGCTTTTCCGATTCCCAGGAGGTCGAAGGCATCCATCATCCCGGAGATGAGCGATGAGACGAGACCGAGTCGGCAGGGGGGGGGGGGGGGGGGGGGGGGGGGGGGGGGNGGGGGAGGAGGAGGAGGAGGATTTTGGGGAGGAGCCCGCGAGGAGGTTCCCTCGCGATCTTCGCGATCGTGAGGGAACCTTTTCTTTCGGGGGAGATTAATGGTTCCACGAAATGCATTCGATCTAGCGAGAAAGAGAGAGAGGGGGGACACGTTTGTCCATTACCGTATGAGACTCATCGAGGATTTACTCGGGATTATCCAAGGATTATCCAAGGCTCACACTTAGTTAATAGACCGTTCGTATCGACGGCCATCCGGCTCGCTTTTCTCGAGGCATAACGAAGCCCTAACGAGGGCAGCGGATCCCGAAGTTCGCCGGTCGATGTGGATTTTTCGGGCGAGGAAAAAAGGAGGCTTACAGGTGAGCAAAAGGGAGGCTTACAGGTGAGCAAAGGGAAGTCGAGATGAAGACCTCGTATTGATCCCGGGTCCCGGAGCTCGCGTCTCCCGGCGTCAGCACGTGCCCGTGCGGGCAGGTGCAGGGGACGAAGTCCTCCGTCCGCACCTTCTCGCCGGTGGCCAGGTCGTAGAACGTGTGGCTCCGGTACGCCACCTCCTTTTCGCTGCACGGGCGACGGGAGTACGATGGCACGGGGTCGCAGAACTGCGAAAGAAATTTTCTCGTTTTATGGGGGGGAATTTTTCGTGGGCGATGGCTCGGGGATTCTGGCTCGGGGGAGCTAGCATGGGGGAAGGCTGTCTCGGGGGAAGGCTGGCTCGGGGGAGTGGGACTCACCTTATATTGGTCCGATTCCTGAGTGATGGAATAGCCGTCTTCGGGGTCCCAAATCGTCGGACAAGGTGAATCGGGACACGAGCAAAGCTGCTGGACGTTCACGCCGCCCGCGTTCGTTTGTAAAAAAGCGCACACCGTGTGGCGTCTGCATGTGGCCAGAGGAACCACCTGAAAATAACGGATAACCGGCGTTTCATTCAATGACAGGAAAGGGGCACGTGCAATCGAACGAAAAAATTGGCTTATCGCCGCAAAAACATTGTATGCTCAATATCTGTCGTGTCGAAACAAATTGATTCAATTCAAGGAGGCTGAATCAAAATTGGCTCAATTTGCTGCGACACTGAATTATGTTGTGATCCAATGAATCCAATCCACCAACACGACCTCATATTAAAATTATGACATGCGGCACACCATTCAATCAATACTGATCTTAATTGACTTGACGTCACATCGCCGGATCACGAAAGCAGCAAGCGCAACTTGAGGCGACACTCGAACCCCATTGATCGACAGGGTCGCAATACAGACGTCACCGCCAATCCTCACGCCGATCGGCCGAATCCCCGAATGCGCCAGGATTCCGCTGCCACGCGAGAGAAGTGTTTTGTCAGCAGGCCGCCAGATGTCTCTGTCGCATTTAGACCTCCTCGGAGCGTCGCCTCTGGGCGCAGTCAGTCAGTGGAGGGGGCGCAGTGAGGTCGTCGGCGGGATGCTCCTTTCTCGACCGAGTCACCCCTGGGGGTTCTCAGGGTTAAATCGCCAGTCGAATTTATTCGGGCATTCCTATGTCTTTCCCGGTTTCACGCGCGAGGGGAATGCTAAGTACCGCGTGAGAGGTATTGATGACTCATTCCAGTTGCAAGAAAGGGTGACTCCCCGCGAGGGAGACTCGGGCGCCATCTCGCTTCGGTGGCGGGAACCGTGTTTGTTCCGATAACTGCCAGATGGCTCACCCCGTCGTCGTCCGGAAACGATTTCGATAGGCCGTTGAGTGTAGAGCTCGATTGGAGCGGGCAAGGCGGTCGAGAGACCCAAGGGATGAAGAAATCCCGAAGACCTTCTTCATGAGGGATGAAGAAAGGGTTCCAGAGTTGCACTTTCGAGTGCTTGTGAGGATCCGGGAATTAATTACCGCGAGACCTCGATATTAATCTCACTTTTTTCTGGTGGGAACTGGTACCGGTACTGATGGAATCTCTGCATCCAAAAAAAAAATTTTTTTTCATCGTGCTGTTGCGAAAAACAAGGTTGGGAAAAAAGTTGGATTTTATGTGCTAAATGGCGCGATAAATTGTTGTCGAACGCTTGCGAACAGCACATGAACAGCGTATGAACATAGGCAACAACAAAAAAAATTAAAGCTCCTCGTACGGAAATAGCCCGTTGAGGAATCGAAAAGCAACATTTGCAGAAACACTCGACAATCGAGGCAAGATCGAAGTGTCCGTCCCAGCAGACGCCAATCCTCCGCTTTTTTTTTTCCCCCGCGTCATTTTCGCATTTCTTTACACCGTCGTCGAAATAGAAGGATTTAAATGGAGTTGTCGGGGACGACCCCCCACCCCCGGGGGGGAGGTCGTCCCCGACAGCTCCATTGTTAGCATAACCCGATTCTTGCCGTTGATTTATATTCCTGAGAGGATGAGAAACGACCTTGCCTTGCGAAGGTCGCATGCGACGAGAATTTGATCAAATATGATATATAAATAATTTAAATATTAAAAAACACGCCTGACGACCGAGATGCTGCATCGCCAGTTTTTTCTGTTTTTTTTTTTCTTGTTTTCCTCTTCGATGGCGAACGAGAACGGGCTCGAGAATTTCCGCGAACGCGATGGCAGCGGCAAGAAGGGAAAAATCGGCGGGAAAATCCACAGACCGCCATTTTTTCAAGTAATTTTTTTTCCGCGCTTCCAGCTTGACCTTTTTTTTTATATTTACAGAAAATTTTCCGAATAAATAATTCGTCCGGTTTTCCGGGAAAACGTCAACGGAATTCCGAGGAGATCCGCGCCTTCGCGTCATTTTTCGAGCAAATATTGCCACGCGCTAAATGATGCGGTTTTTTTTTCGCAAAACGGTCGGCAATGGGTCTTTTCCGCGTCAGTTTCAAATTTAATCGACGAATTAAATATATGTACAAATGCATATATTTACATAAACAAATGAAACCCTCTCGCGATGCAAAAACTTGCGAAAATCTCGCTGAAAAAAAAAAACAAGAAGATGCTACTTTCCGCAAATCTGCGATCTAGCGGATTGCAACGCACGCCAGTTTGGCAGGAATATCGCACAAATTGGCATATCCTTTCGACGGTGAACGCCACAAAAAAAAAATTCAGCAATGAAAAACTTGGCTCGTAAATTTTTTGTTTTTAGAGAAAACACTCGAAAGTTTACTTTTTAGTGTTTAAAATGTTAAGTGAAATGGCAGCAGTTGCTCAAGCTTGGACATAAAAAATTCAGAAGTGCCAACAAAAATGTTATTTAAAAAATTTCGTCGAGCCTGTATTTTTTTTAAGGCTGCGTGCTTGGAAGCCAATTTTCTCGCTGAAGTTTGAACGACGACTCCAAACGGCGAAGGGACTTTAAATGTGTATTAGTTGAATTGCTTGAACACTTTCATTGTGATGTTAAAAAAAAATTTAATCCGGAATTTCTATGGTAAAATGGAAGTTTTATTTTTTAGATAGGTACTTAATGATGTCCCGAACCGACCGAGGAGGCACAGACCGACCCGACCGCGGTCGGAGCGGGGCGGGGCGGGGCAGGGGGACTCACCGGGAAGGCCACTTCGATGGTGTTCGACTCGGCCGGCGTGTAGACGGTGGCAGCCACGGTCTTGAGGACGACGAACCAGGCGAGGCAGAGCCGGGGGCCCATGTCGAAGGAGAGCGAGGACGGGGAGGAGGTCGGACGCTTGCCAGGCGGGGGGGAGAGGAGCGACGAGGTCGGACGATTGCCGGGCCGTGGGAGATGAGGGTTTCGTATCTCGCGGACGCGGGACGCGGCCTTTTATAGGAGAGGGGCGCAGGCGCCGTGATGGCGGTGGGTGGGTGGCGCTTTGCCGGATGAGCTGCGTTTTCTGCCTCCGACGTCACTCGTCGTTATTGTCCGGCTTCGCATTGGGTCGTCCTGGTATGGCGAGGGGCAGGACGAGTCCGTCTGGATTCCGATCGGGTGACTGGATGCAGCCGTGGAGCGCTTCGTCTCCTGACTCACCGCTTTTCGGATCGCTCTGGGTCGAACGACGATGTTGTCGCGTCGTCTTGTCGCTCCCGGTTCGGTCTGGGTCTCTGCCGGCTCCGTAGAGTTTCCCGCGCTTTCCGGCCTAGCCGCTGCGAACGACAATCGGCACGATCGGTTTCCTTCTTTGCATCAAATGCATTTCCTCTCCGATTTGCATGAACTGAGCGAATTGCACATTTTCGTCACAAGCGTATATTTTTGTCGCAACCGGACATTTTCGTCGCAAGAGCACATTTGTGCCGGAAGCGGGACGGCGAACGGAAACGCCCACAGATTCCAGATTGTCCATAATTGGCCACCTAAGAACAACTTTTTATTCTCGAATTATTAATGTGCGTAGACCTCAGAATGACGTCACATCCTTTCGGGTCGAAAACAGGGATATTGAGACAAATTTTCATTTCCTGTAGCCAACAACGCCGGACATGTCACATGTCCGGACGTGGCTCGATCCGACCCGGAGTAGAAGGAGGAAAGATGCGACGCCGTAACGACCTCGATAGATCGACTTATACGGAAGAAATGATTTCCTCAGAGTCGATCAGGAAAATCGACCGTGGATGAAGAACCCGTTTGGATCCCTGTCGACGAATGATGTCATGGAATGACATCATCCGTTTCTTCTGGATGCAATGTGGCAACTTTCTCGTCGAAATCGACGAGGAATCGAACTGGGACGCTGCAGGATGAGCTCGGAACGACGATGCCGGATAAGCCGGATATCGGGTCGGAACAGAACCGGCGAACAAAGACTGTTGCTCGTCGCTTCATCCCGGATGAGCTTCAGAATCTTCCGTCCTTGATGAATCGAGGGATTGCGAGTCTGAAAGGAGAAAGAACGATCTGCAAGCGTTAGTCCCAAGGACAAGACGACTGAGTCGGCCATTGCGGGGTCGACCGTCGGCCGAGGTGTTGCAGCTCTCGCGGGCACGGAAAACAATGCGAAAAGTCTTACTTTCCTGGAATGAACCAAAATAGACTTGCCTGCATTGTTCCCTGCGCAAGCGGGCATTTTCCCGGACTTTCGCTGAAAACTCGCTTTACATAGGCACCAACGGGTCGAGGAATCGTCGTCGGTTGGTCCGAGTGAGAGCGACAACCGTGGCCAACAAGTACGACACAGCTCGGTTGCTCAAACATTTCGGCCGTCGTCTCGTTCCCTTCCGACATCAAAAAGCAATTTCGTTCGATTTTGCTCTCGCGCCAAAATCCGAAACCCTCGTGTCTCGGTCCTCTTGTGATCGTAGAGACCGACGATTTGGGCTGCACGCAATTCTCGCCGTGATCCGACTGAATGTAAATTTTATTTAATTCTGGGATGGTCGAGCACATTGGCACACTCGAGTGGAATTGGCACTCCGACAAATTGCGTAACGGGACATTGTATTGTTTCAACTCCTCGAGGCCTTTCCAATTTCGATCGCTCGTCTAACTGATCATTCTTGGTCGCATAAATATTTCCCCGATAGAGAACGATTGAGCATTATTCTTTTAATTCAAGATGTCGATATATTCCAATTGCGTTGACGGCTTCGAAAGATTGCGGGAAATTGCTTCTTCTCGAGCACGTGCCCGATGACAACGGAAAGGCTTTCTTCCGGATCGCGAGAGAAATTCCCGGTCGATCAGCGATGTCGTGATGGAACCATTGTGTCGCCGGAAGCGCCACTTCACCGGATTGCGAACTTGGAATTGCGTTTCCGGGTCGTCCGAGCTGGTCGGCCTCGAAGGGGGGGTCGGCTTCGAAGGGGCGGTCGCTCTGGAGGGATCCATCGGTCGTATCCGTGTCATCATCGAGAGCAATCGATGACGTCTCCCTTGATTGGTTTAATTTTTTCATAGTCGGCTTTATTTCTGGAACATTGTGCAGGAGGGTCTCTTCTTGCCTGCACGCGGCAAAATTCCGCATTCATGTTCCGATTCTCGTATATACAATTTCTGAAGATTTGATGATGTCACGCACTCGTTTCAGAATCCATGCATGCCGCAGAATAGCTCCCTTCCGCTTCCTTCCTTCCGGACGACTTCCCCTTCTCTCTCCCCCCCCCACTCTTGACACCGTGTCGAACCAAGAGAGGACCGACGGGCAGCCCGCACCGCTCCGCGTCTCGGCAGGCTCTGAAGGAGAATCGCGGCC